TATATATATATATATATATATATATATATATATATATATATATATCATCACGTTAGATCTATCATTGATGATTTCTTAATTTTATCCTATCATCACTTTCTTTCTGTCTCAATTTTATATAATTCATCATTTACCTGACTGCCGGTAGGCAGGCGTGTTCCAAATTGGATTTGGACAGGCCAAGATCATTTTTCAAAGGAAAATCAGATCACATTATATCTTGTCCATTTATACATACATGTTCATTTGAATGTACGGAAGAAAGAAATTTAGCATCGCGCGAAACAAACTTGTACACGAAGTAGACGAAGGAAATTTTTCAGCTTCGGCTTCTCCTCACAATATATAGGATTTTAATATATTTTGTGCTTGTTACAAGTGGCATCGATCTTATTTATAGAGTGAAGTGAAACAGAATATATTTCTTGCCTTCGTGAAATATCGGGCTTGCCCTCACGTATATGTCACGTACACTTCATTTCGTTCATTTAATAATATCTCATCAATGAAAATTACAATGTTTTTAATATTATCGGTATACGTCGCGTAACAGCTAAGATTACCAAGGTTTCTTTGTATTCTCATCTCATAGAATTGAGAATCAAAGTGCAGTGATCATTTTTCAGTTTCGATCAGAGTACATGCAAATCAAACATGTAATATGCACATTAACATTTTCAACTGAAACGATATGGGGAAATATAAGGAAGAACGAGGACACACGAGTGAGTAAAATCACTTTCAAGTAAGTCTCTGTGACAAACAACTTGTAGGTAGCACAAGATAACTAGATTAGGTTACGGTTTTTTCTCAGTAAACACATTCCTTAGTAGAACAGATTACGTATAATAAGGCTAGCTGTGATGGAGTTGTAAGAGAGAAAAAGGGAGGGAAAAAACGAATATAGGGTGGGAGGGATATATATATATACACATATACATATATATATTTATCAGCTGCCAGTACGTGAAAATTGCCACGATACGATTGATATATAGTGTGTAAAATCATAGAATTTATTTGTGCAGGAAAAATAACTCGAGGCGAGTAAAGGTTCATCGGCAAGGAGAAACGAAAGGATGGATCCATTTTATTCGCATGATAATGACGATGTCGAACGTGTTAAACGTGCAATTCTATCAGGATCGAATGTCGCAATATCCATTTTCCAATCTTATCGCTTGGAAAAAGAGAGAGAGAGAGAGAGAGAGAGAAAAAAAAAACAGAAAAAGAGCTAACTCTCCTTGCATCATCGGGTAAGAAACGAAGCGATAAACGTGTTACAAACTATAGAGATCAGCCAGTTTACTATATAAGTATTTTCTTTAGCGGTTTATATACATCTGTATACAATATTAGTATTTTATAAATATCGTAAATGTTACGGGGCTATGGTTCGTGTAGGTTCGTCGGTTGAAAGATGTATAACACAATAGGGGGAAAAGAAAAAAAAAGAAACAATTTATTGTTCGATATATTGAATCGTAAAACGGTTATTACGATCGATGCATAAAATTCCACGGGGAAAATACGTCCAACGAGGGAGGGGGGGGGGTGTGAAAGAAAAAAGAAAGAATTGTTCGTGCATGCGTTTTTTCTGATTGTTTCATGTTGAACAGATACTTTTATAGAGTTTACCTGTTGCATACTATTGTGTTAAATTTTATTATCGCGTGTTGGACGATTGTTGCCTGAAAGAAAGATACGCAAATACCTCTTTGCTATGTGGCAAAAAAAAAAAAAAAAAAAAAAAAAAAAGAAAAAAAAACAGTATTGGTTGGCCAGTCTATGTTACCTACGAGTTGTTTAGTAAGAGGACATTGCTAGATTAACTAAGCCGGCAGTCGCCACACATTTAGGAGAAATCTTATTTCATATGACGCTTTGTTTTGTACAGTTTCGAGATATATCTCATCTGATCATTCTCCAAGTGAAAGAAACAAAAAAAAAATA